CGAGTGTCCTTGTTGCTTATCTCTAGACAGCATGGCCCTTTTCTTTCTTTGGTTTTATTTTGTAGCAGTCATATTTGACTCTTTCTGCTTTCTCTCACTGTTTCCTTTTTCTATTTGCCTCTGTATAATAAATCTAACCCACGAGCTTACACTGCACATTACAGAGGAACAGTATATATCAGTTCTTCTGTCATCTGTGTCTGAATTTATAGGCCCAAGTTGAAGCTTTATACTTGTTTATTTTCTTCTATGTGTATGAGCTGTGGCTGCTTTTTTCTTTTTCTTTCCTTACAATTCACTGAATACACCCATGTGATGTGATGAGAGTTACAAGAGACTCTATAGGCCCGTGATCACATTATTTTTTTCGTTTGGCAGAGATAGCGTTCAACTTTTCTCTGGCAAACTGTTTGAGCCGGTTGAATGTTGCTAACTTGCGCCTGGTGCGCTTTGTTTGTGCACACGCCATTTGCCTATCTTGTCGTTTTTCTTTGGCATGAGAAGTTGGGTTCGTTTTCAAAATGCAGTACAAGAGAGAGCCTCTGATTGTTTGTCTGTTTGTCTTGTCTGGAACAGTGTTCTAAATTTTGCGCATGCTCCATACACAGTGAATAGTGAATAAACCCATCTGACTAAGAACGTACCTTGTGTTTAATATATTGACGTCCTTGTCCTGTGTGTAATATATTGAAGTCCTTGTCCTTTGTGTAATATATTGACGTCCTCGGCCTTGTCCCTAAACCCTATGTAGACCCGGTTGCTCTTTAGTCTGGGCCTACAACTCACCGAGCCATGTTTTGTTTGCTTTCCAAGCAATAACTCTCTCCACCTAAACCAACAAAGAATACGATCATATGATGTTATTAGTCCATTTGAATAATGTAGTTTACTAACTGCTGAATCTGATATTTTGTGCATTGCCCAGCAACTTTCTTTGAAGGGGTTTGCTGGAGACACTGCCAAGGCTCATGCAAAGACAAGCATGATTGCAGGGGAGGGAGTGAGCAACATCCGAACAGTTGCTGCCTTCAATGCCCAAAACAAGATCCTGTCTCTCTTTTGCCACGAGCTCCGTATCCCTCGGCTTGGAAGCCTTCGCCGGAGCCAAACTGCCGGCCTTCTATTTGGCCTCTCTCAGCTTGCATTGTATGCCTCTGAGGCTCTCATTTTATGGTATGGTGCCCACCTTGTCAGCAAAGGTGTCTCAACCTTCTCCAAAGTTATCAAAGTTTTTGTGGTCCTGGTTGTAACCGCTAATTCAGTTGCTGAGACTGTTAGCCTTGCCCCTGAGATTATTAGGGGTGGTGAAGCTGTTGGTTCAGTCTTTTCAATCCTCGATCGTCAAACCAGGATCGACCCGGATGATCCCGAGGCGGAGATTGTTGAAACAATTCGCGGTGAAATTGAACTTAGACATGTTGATTTTGCCTATCCATCACGACCTGATATCATGGTCTTTAAAGATTTTAATCTGAGAATCCGCACTGGCCAAAGCCAAGCACTTGTTGGAGCTAGTGGTTCAGGAAAGAGTTCTGTGATTGCATTGATTGAGAGGTTTTATGATCCCATAGTTGGGAAAGTAATGATTGATGGCAAAGACATTCGACGTTTGAACTTGAAGTCTCTCCGGCTAAAAATTGGTTTGGTACAACAAGAGCCAGCCTTGTTTGCAGCCAGTATTTTCGAAAACATTGCCTATGGCAAAGAAGGGGCAACTGAAGCAGAAGTAATCGAAGCAGCTCGTACTGCCAATGTGCATGGTTTTGTTAGTGGATTGCCTGATGGCTACAAAACCCCGGTTGGGGAGAGAGGGGTTCAGCTCTCAGGGGGACAGAAACAAAGAATTGCAATAGCAAGGGCTGTGCTCAAGGACCCAACAATACTTTTGCTTGATGAGGCCACAAGTGCACTTGATGCTGAATCAGAATGTGTACTACAAGAAGCACTCGAGAGGCTTATGAGGGGCCGCACAACCGTGCTGGTTGCCCACCGTTTATCGACGATCAGAGGGGTGGACAGCATTGGTGTGGTGCAAGACGGGCGCATTGTGGAACATGGTAGCCACTCGGAACTGGTGAGCCGCCCTGATGGGGCTTATTCTAGACTGCTGCAGCTACAGCATCATCATATATGAGAGAAGAGTTTTTTTGGTCAAAAGCAGCGGCATGCATGGCCTTGTTGGGTTGTTAAATTATGTTTGTCCCGTTAATCTTATCCATCCACCATTGTTCTTTTAGTTGTAGATATGGCATATCAATCTTCTGAACAATTTCTCTAATCTTTAATGGAGCAGCAAGTATTATATTATCAATATCTTTCCTGCATGTTATCAATGTCGGTTGTTGGGATTTAGCTTTCCTTTCTCTTAGCACTCTTTTCTTAGCTTTATGATATCACACCCAAAAGCAACCCTCCAAAAGAAAATCATTAGATCCCTTTGGGAGAAGCTTCCCTCAATTCTGCTTTTCCCATTGCATGTGTTTCCTACCATGATCTATTTCGATTGTAGATTGGCAGACCCTTTTTCTTTTTGGTTT